ACCGAAGACCTAAGGAAATTAAAATTAAAAGTTAATTACACAATAAATATATAAAAGCTATGCAAAAGAACAAAGAACAAAACTTGTAAAAATTAGAATAAACAAAAGATAATAATTGAAATAAAACACTCCCCGGCAACGGTGCCAAAAACTTTTTCGCTAAAATTATATATCACAAGTGCACGGGTGCGTTTAAGTAATAAAGTGGACTTATGAGTCCAAGTATCGATCCCTCGAAGAGTTTTTTTTTTTAAATTATACAATTGTTTACTCAATTTTAACAATTGAAACACACAATTAGATTTTATATGTGAAAAGGAAAGGAAAATGAATTTGAAAATCAATTGAAATAACAATTATGAAAGAGAAGAAAATTTAACTTATAAATGAGTTGGGATTTACAATGTCACTTAACCGTCGTTTCTTTAATATCGCAAAAAACCAAAAATGCAAATTACCTCGTTACATTGTGAGACCTGATTTTCCAAATTTAGTTAATTACCTCGCTCAAGCGAAATTGACTCTAATCGATTGGTTTTACCTACTATATCTCTATGTTGATAAAAACCCAACCGATCGCATTAAATCGTGATAAAAATAACTCAATGGGTCACCTAGGGTTTGTAGTATATCTCTATTTCCTAAAACAACCTAGGGCATTAATTATTTTGGTCAAGAATGCAGAACAATCTCTCAATAGTTGCACAAACCACTCAATTCAATCATATATTAGCCACATACATGAAGAAAATTTAAGCACAATAACATAGTAATTAAAACATTAAATGACGAATATTGACATTAAAGAAACTTAGGTCAAGTTACATCATAAATCCCAACATTCAACACTTAGCTCATTGCAAAATAGAAGCACAAAAATGAAATAAAGAGAGAACCCATTACAAAATGAAGGAGATAATAGAAAAATACAAGATAGTGGAAGAAAACCGTCACTTGAATATATTCTTGAAGAAATGAGGGATTGAAATATTTAATATTCCTTGTAAACTCCCAAATTTTGCTAGAAATTCTCCCTTCCTCTTGCCTCTTCTCTCCTTGAAAGATTTTCTAAGTGTTCTTCTATAAGTCTTGCCCTAGAAGTGACCAACATATGGGTATTTAAATGGCTAAGAATCGTATTAAGTGAAATTGTGGAAGAGGTTCCGAAATTTACGCAAAATAGGCAAAATTTGCCCAGCCGAAAAGTGGCGCGCGCACAATTAGATGCTTTTGGCCTCGGGATATCATAAAGAGTCTCTTGAGCGAGTGTGGGCTTTCTTCATTTCCTTTTTTTCCAACTTAGTCCTCCATATAATTAAACACAAGGCCCTCAACTTTGATCATGAACAACTTTGTCCTCAAAATTTGATTTTCGTATCACTTTGGCCCTCCAAAATTGCAACAATAGGTCCATAAACTTTCAGTACTTGTACACTTTGGTCACCAAGTCATTTTTTGTGCACTTTTGGTCCTTTCTTCCTTGATTTAGCTCTTTTTCATCCAATTTGGACTTTTGGCCTACAACACCATAATTACACAATTATAAATAGGAATACACTCGATTTCATCAATAATTAGCTCGTTAAAGTGCCTAATAAGTATGTAAAAACATACTTATCACCCGCCAAGTGGTTGGTCGAGCATCAAAAACAGAAAGCCTTTCACTCGCTTTTCACCCCTACTTTGCTCGAGCGATAGTATTATCTGCAGAACCCTATTTTCCTTTTTTTGAGATTTTGACCCGACTTATATAACTCAAAAACCTCTCATATAAATATGACTGCTTCATTTTTCAGTTTTCTCTCAAGGATTGAATTTGAAGAAAAAATATACATCTTGAATCCTACTTTCAATCCCAAATCATTTATCTTTAGTGCAATCAAACAAAAACATCAAAATCATCCTCATCAAACACCGTAAACGCAACATTCCAAAGCTTTTGTGGATTCTTGAAGATCAAGAAAGGAGATCGAAATTTCGATCATTGGAGAATGGGGAGTTCTCTTAAATCCATTGGAGATAGACGATATCAAACCCTGGGTATTGGTGTTGCATACAATCCAGGAGGGCTAGGAGTCGAGAATTGGTGTAGGATCACTCATACCAAGAGAGCTTTGAAAAAGATACAATCAGGAGGTCAGAAAAACTATTGTGAATTGAATCTGACGGATTGTAAGTAACTTGTTTCGTTTATAGTGGATTCCTATTGGCTTGGACCCGGAGTTTTACCCACATTGGGGTTTCTCCGTCATCAAATAATTGTGTTCGTTACATTTTCTGCACTTTATTTGTTTCCGATATTTCAATAGAGGATAGTAAAACACGTGAATTGATCTAGACAAAATAATACTTGTAACTTGTTGCATTTATTTTTAAATTGGTTAAAAATTCAACTTAAACACTTATTCACCCCCCTCTAGGTGTAGATTGGGTCGAACTACGTAATTTCAGATACCAATTCCACAATTGTCAGCAGTACCAGTACTACAACACCACCATGATGACATACACCACCACCAAAACTACCATAACTGTTGTACCACCACCGCCAACACCGTCGCTTGCACCACTGTGACCACCACAACCACCAACTGCATCAACAAGGCCTGTATCAACCACCGCATCCACCATATCCTCAAATCCATTATGTCCACCTCTACCACACCACAATTGCCACCACCAACAATAAAATTCCCAAACAAGCCACTGCCACCTGCACTTACACCATAATCGCCACTACCAACAACAAAATTCCAAGATAAGCAACCGCCACCCCAAAATCCACTCAAAAACTCCCGCCACCACAAAATCAAAAGAAGAGTAAAACAAAGCCAAGTGGCTAGAAGACCAACAAGAGGAAAATGTAGAGGAAATTTCGATTTGTCTCTAATTCGATTACGAGAGGACACGTCGTTGCTTGGCGGTGAAGGTAAGTCGCTGGAGAGCTGCGCACTTTCGGTAGAGATAAGTCGCTGGAGTGATAAAAGAGAGAAGAAAGAAGGAAGAGGTAGAGAGAGAAGGGAGAGGAAAGTGATTAGGGCTTTGAGATTGAAAATCGAGTTGGATGGGTTAATGGTGGAGGGTGGAGTGTATAAATTAAATTAATTTTATAATATTATTATTAATATTAAAAATTTTAATTTTAATTTGATTTTTGAATAAATAAATTATGGATTTGATTTTTGAAGTTGGATCTTAAAAAATATGGATGGATTTAATTTCCACATTTTTATGTCCTGGTATGGCCCAATACGACGTGGTTCACGCACAAAACTAAAATCTAACACATCTAATCGGCTGTGAAGTTTCCATGTGCTGGTATTTAAAATACAGGATGGGCTAGCCCTGATTACAAATATCCATTGGCCCACTGAAATTTTGTTTATTTAACTCAATAACTCTGTAAAATGAGGAAATTTTGTATTTGCATGAGGACAATACTCATCAGTATTGCTAAAAAGAACACTTCTTGGTCGGAAGCAAATTAAAGAATTTGATTAAAGATTGATTTCTCCCTAATAAATGAGATGTTTGTCAACTTTCAGACAATTGGATTCATAATTGAACTAAACATGCATTCATAAATCCCGGAAGATTGTCATCTTAATGCAAATTTTCTTACTTTTAGCATTTATTTATATTTATTATTGTACTTCTTGTTGAACTATCTAATTTAAAAGTTTAAACTAATTATGTACTAGCTAAATTTAGTTTACATCAACCTCTGTTTGGTTGAGCTAAAAATCATATTTTTCGTAGATTTTGGTAAATATAGATCAAAGTTTTTAGTTTCATGAAATATATGATCAGGAAAAATGAATTTAGAAAATGAGAGCCAAACAGGAGTAAATACATGGTATGTACACAATTTTTCATAAATTTGTATTACACTAACGACATGCATTTTGCTCATATTCTGTTAAAAAAATAATAATAATAATTCTTTTTTAAAAAAAATCTTCATCTTTTAAAAAATAAATTTATTTATTTAACTTTTATCTTTTCTCAAGGTTTTTTTAAATTTTTTCTTGGAATGTCATCAATTTAAAAAAATAAATTGTTAGGTGATATTAATATGATATGTTATCCACATCGTATCAAACATCTTTAATGAAGAAAATTTTCTCCAAGCGTGCTACATTAGTTAGGCTCCAGCACAACGATAACCCATGGAGCAATTATGTTTGACTAAATATATGATGGGACGATGTATTAAATGGGATTAATGAAGACAAATATGTATCACATTCAGAATTATCAAGAATTTTTTTGATAATTATTCAATTAATCCGTAGAAAGTTAGTGTTGTGGAAATTAAACGAGACATAATAATTGCCATTTCTTAACATTGTCTTATACTTTTCCCTAACAAAGATAATCTTCTCTTAAAGTTTTTCCACAATAAATCTTTCTTTTTGACCAATCATCCTTTAGTTTGGTCTTCATTACCACTTTGTTCTTGATGTATATCTTCTCTTCAAATATCGATCTTCCTTTCATGTAAAATTATTTTTGCTTTCACTGTAAATCATTTATGAGAGCATTTTAGAAGCAGCTCATTGGTACCTTGGATTTATATTTCAAGAATTAATTTAAAGGGCACTATTGCATGTACCCAGGAAAGAAAACTATGTTTCAAGTTTGATATCATTGCACTCAACTTTCTTTCTTCATGGACATGAGAGACAGCTAGACAATGAACAAATAATGAAGACTTCCTACGACAACTGACAATGTAAAATGCAACGATGCTTAAATTTTAAAACATCCTTGGAACTTCTTCTTGTAATAATGAGGCAATGACAAACCAAACATATCGTGCGTATTGGCAGGCAAATCATGCAGATGCCTTTCGTTTTCACATAATAATTCCAACTCTTCTGTGCTATTGCACCTATGCATTTCCAAATAGCTGCTCGGTACGCACATTAATAACTATTGTAATATTCGATGACAACATGTTTAGAATACTGAATTTGATGAAGTCATCCACTCCAATATTAATCATATTAATGCACTAAGAACGCTTCGCTAAATGTGGAAAAAGGGAAATACATAGATCCAACAACTTGGAAATGATGATATGGGGATAAAATGAAACATGAAGAATCATTGCACAGAAAATCCCAAATCATCATAACTTTTAAAGCTCCCCATAGTTTTAGTCAATAATTCAGGGGAAAAAAAACACCTGAGAATAGAAAGCAGTTTTAGATTCCATTACCAAAAGACCTCACAGAAAATTTCAGGATGCATCTGCCCATGCAGGAAAAAGTGGGACTTGAGGCCTCATATGTGCTGTTGAAAGCCAAGAATTCACACTACTTGTTGAACTTGTAAAGTAGTTGGACGCTGGTGGAAGGCCAATGCTTTTATCCGGGCTGCCTTCTCTCAAGTTATTCACCGGTGAAGCACTACTTGAAAAGTGACTAGCCATTTTTCCTGGTTCATCCACATCATTCTCAGTTGAGTTCATTGCCTCAATCCCAATCATGCCATTTACACCAATATAGTAAGATCCACTTCTAAAGTCATCAACTCCACCAGTTTTCTGATAGAGTGCCATTTTCCAGTCAGGCACATTGCTATTGTCCTCCTTTGAGGCATATGCAACTTCCAAATGATGGTTATGGTTTGAGGGATTGTTATCAGAGATCTTGTTACTTGAATCCATGTCCTTGTTTCGTTTAGCCATTTCCCCTGAAAGAAGGGAACTGCTTGCCATAATCCGATCTACATCATATCTTGAGATTCCAAAGTTGGTTACTGCATCAAGCCCCCGAAATTTTATAGCTGCTACATCATATGCCTCAGCAGCTTCTTCTTGAGTACCTACAATATAATTAAAATGGTTACAAGAAACAGAAATAGTTTTCTTTAAAGTTACTTGTAGAATATGAAGACTACAAACAAGAAGTTAAGCTTTAATTTGGGTAAAGACCCAAGATTTACGAATTTCAGCATGTATTCATTAGGCAGTATAGAAGAACAAAATCCTACAGGAACAACCAAAAAGGTTCACTCCACATCTGAAGATAATTTCGTAGGATTTATATGCTAAGAATCAATTTAAACCACAAAATAAAAAGGTAATTTCCGGCGTAGAGATAAAGATCAAAACTCACTAAATGTCCCTAGATAGAGGTCCTTGTTTCCAGCAGCTCGGCCAATCCGAGCTTGCCAACGTCCGTGTTGATGATGTCTGCTAAAGAAAAAAAATAAACAAAAACAAAAACTTCAATGAAGTGGAGGAAAACATCAATTTCAACTGAAGGCTTTAAGCTGAAATAAGGCAGTATATTAAGACCTTGTAACTCCTCTATAAATTGAAGCTCCTCTGGAGAAGCCACTGCTTTTCCTGTAATATATTACAGTATTCATTAGTTAAAAATAAATGGAATTGGTAAATGGGGAGAATTTGTAAACTACAGAGGGGCAAAAAGGCAACCTTCTTAAGTGAGCAACATATTCCTGTCTGGACATGTTTTTCATCTCTTCAAGTTCTTGTTGATAATTTTCCAACTGTGTTAACATCGGAGAATCATTTTTGTACCTTTTTAATAATAGATGAAGACCAATAAGCCGTGTAATATTAAACCATTACCGGAAAATTGATATGGGTTGAAGGTCCCCAGTACTTAAGTGCTGCCAAATCATAAGCCTTTGCAGCCTTTTCTTCCATATCATAGCCCCCTAAATTTGACATTCATAGATTACAAATGCATACAGAAATGTAAAACCTATGCTCATAACATACTATGTTTCGGGCAACTGTGGGATAAAAAAATGAAATGAAACCAGGAAGAAATTACCTAGATAAACTGGAAAAAGGTATTGAAGATCACAACGTTGCCCCCCAGGAATCAAAATCATTTAAAAAAATAAAATCAGATCAAAGGTAACTGACAAAATTTTGATGGCATTTGATCTACCAAATAGCATAAAAATAGATTGTGTTTTCATCACTAACTTTGCCTTCCTTTCCTTCTTGGACCTTCTTTCTTGCAACTGTTGTCCCATAGATGGGCTTCATATCTACCTGTCCATCTGTGCCTGGTGCAAGAAAGATCCATAAACCAAAATGTTTTCTCATTTAATTATCCAAGAAAACATGTTCAGAAAAAAAAAATGTAAAACTGAAAAAAAAAACATGACATATACCACAATCAAAGAGTGCACCGGTTTAAGAATGGCAGATGAAAACACAAGGAACAAGAATTAACCTCGTGACGCCTCTATACTGTGAAGTCCTTTGCCCAAATGTATCTATGGACTTCCTATGTACAATCTGCTTCTGAGAAACCTTTTCAGAATC